GTTGATACCAACGTCTATCCAACTCAATTGGGGTTGGTCGGATAATTGAAAAGTCGGATAACCGAAAAGTATGAAAAAATCCATTATTAGTGTAGTATATTATTATATCCCAGTAATTAGTATATTAGTATATTAGTATATCGCTATTAACCTACTTCATCGATGTTAAGCCTAACAAAAATTTTTAAAAATAATAATCGTCGCTATTGTATCGTTAAAAATTAGAAAATTAAGCCTCGTTTAAATACTGGCTCCCTTTCATGGTCGAATGAGGGTTGCCAGCTAAAACACGTAAAAATAATATTAAAGTAGCCAAGACATAGTGAAATATTGTAGCGCCACATCATTAGCGGACATTTGAAATTTGCCGACTAGGACGGTCAGTTAACCGAAGTGTCGGTTAATTGGGGTCAGATAATCGAGGTTCTACTGTAATAAGGCAAGGCATATAATAATTCTTTATACCATTCCGTGGTATAAATAATAAATTCATATCAATAATAAATTTCTATTACAAATAAAAATAATTTATTGTTACTTTAAAATCATCGCCAGAGCGCCTCTAGTGCCCGTTTTTGGCATACCGTTACGCGGACGGACGGGCATGCGTTCAATGGGTTATATAAATAGATTTAAATTATGATTTATTGCTGAATATTCAACTGGTATTTTGCTATAATTCGAAACAGATCTGCGAAGATTTTTCCATTTATCTCCATTGTAATGCAATGAATTGAAAACTTCGAATTTGTATTTGCTAATGACACGACACCACGATATGGACTATTCGACATCAATCACCATGAATGAAAAAACCCCAATTTCTTATTCATGATGATTTATTGGGAGGAATTAAACTCACAATAGGGTGACTTTATTATAGAATTATATCTATAATCTTATCTTCTTATCGGTCAGATGATCGAGTGATTAAAGATAAAGAAATCCCAGAAACTTTTTGGGGATGAACCATCCTGATATATTGACCAATCGACTGACCCATTATGGACCCATTATCACCTCTCATGCCCACAGGGAGGAAAATTAAAAAAAAATATATCGTTCTCTTAACAGGCCGACTAATTTCAGTTGATTAACATGGATAAGGAACAGGAAATATCAACTTAACTCTAGCTATTCACGAATTTCAGAATGAATTCAACACGAATCCATTTTGTAAAAACTTTTCATTGTAAGAAATACGTAAAATAAGTGTTCAATATTTTTATTGGGAAGAAAATTCTTGTATTCTCATGCAACGAAAGAATATCAGCTAATTTGAACACTTTTGTGCAAACTGTGCAAATAAAAATAATATTAAACTATACCTTACCGTGAGGACAATAGCAACAGCAACGGCAGTAACGAATAAGAGAATGGTTTGCATCTTGAAAATTTGATTCTGAATCGAAAAAGAGGATTTATATGTATATACAAATTTTCGGACTGAGCAAGGGACATCTGGTTTACGATGTTACTGTTATTTTAGATGATCAATGATAAGATTAAGAAACAAGGTTTTTCAAATATTTATACAAGGTTAATCGATAAAAGCGTTAAAACTTTATTTAATTAGATTTTATATACAGTACTGTATATTAAAAAAACCCCCGAAAAATCCACTGGAACGAAATTTATTCTGTTTTCACAGTATTTAATTATACGATTGTTAATATTTACCATAGGACTCTAGTACTTATGAAACCGTGCCGGTAATTGTTGTGCAATCAGAAGAAGATGCATAAGAGTCAATATCAAGAAAACAGATACAGGAACAAAGTGCAAGGAAAGATCTATAAACATTTCATAGATTTAGCATAGGCTTAATCTCCAATTTGTTTTATATATTTGACCCTTTCCACCCTTTGGATATTAAATCCTTGACTCCCGACATCTTGTTTACGTTAATATCGCCTGACTGACCTATATTGCCTCCTAAGGTAATATAGGTCAGTCAGGCGATATTATTTTAAAAATTTACCAAAAATCAAATTATCATTATATTCTTATGAAAAAATCACTTACATTTATTAATATTTTTAGTTTTAAATACGATATTTTTCAATACATTTTATTAGAAAAATTTATAAGAAAAAAATAATAATATATATCAGAACTGACATTTAAACTTGATAATTTGTAACTTTTTGTCAAAATTAACATTGTCTAGTTAACTAGTTTTTTGCTGGCAATAAGCAGAAAGACGTAGAATATTGTTTTGTACAGTACAACTCGATATAACACTTATGCATGTACGTTTATTCGTTGTGAAATTATCGCACATTATGTCAAACATTGTTTGAAATCAAAACTTTATTCTGCTATCAACTAATATAAAGAACTAATATACTTTATTCACTTCATATCGAACAGAATATAAATTTTTCTAGTAAACGTATGATTACCAGTAGTAATACACGTAACATTTGCTGATATTTTAGATTAAAATAAAAAATTAAAATATATATAAAATGTCAGAACTGAAGGTCACAACTGAATATTTATAACATGTTGACTTATTATAGCATAAATGAACTTATTATAGTAATACTATTGCATAAATATGCTAAAAATGAAATAAAAAATTATCAGAAAAAATAAATTAAGAAAACAAAGCATTAATTAAAATTTTTTAAGTCAACAAAACACCACCTGGAGAAAAATATGTNTAAAATTTTTATATTAAAATAAAAAATATATAAAATATCAGAACTGAAGGTCACAACTTGTAACCTTCAACGAGGTTGCCAAATCGCTCGACACAGGGCTGCACGGTGTCGTCGTCATCGCAACAGGACCACTAAATATTGTTTTCAGCTCTGTCTGTGGAGGAATGATGACCGTGGACGAGTGTAGTGGTATCCCCGAAAACGCTATGTGCCAGCCCTTTTCACCGAGCGTCACAACGGTTTCACATCGGGCATTATGGTTTGAGATGGCATCATATTCGATCAGTGTACAATCCCGCTGCACATTTCCGGTACTCTGACAGCGAACCAGTACGTCACACGAGTTGAGGGGCTGTGGTTCGGCCTCTGGTGCAGGCTGCACCCGACACAATGTTCTAGCAAGATAATGCCCGATTGCACGACGCATGGTGAATTCTCACCAGCCTGAACGGAATTCACATCCTTCTCTGGTCGGCAGCCTCGCCGTATCTATTTCTCATCGAACACCTTTGGGACCTCGTTGGTGCACCGGGAACCACCTCCACATACCGTAGGCAACATGTGCATTGCATTAGACACAGTTTAGCAAGGAATATCTCAGGCCTCATTGATAGTACGCCTTATAGCAACCTGTATAGCTGCCAGTGGGGTTCATATTCGTTACTGAATAAACAAGTGTCTGTTGCGTCTTTGTTCTTNCCGGACGAACAACCTCAAGAAATGTTTTGCCTCGAATATGTCGGGTCTATTCCTCACCATCCAGCTGGCCCATTGTGGGCATGGCCAAACGCATAATATTTATAATCTCAGGAAAGGTCCTCTTAATGCCCATAGCGGAAAAAGTAAAAAAAAAATAAAATAAAATAACACGATCTGTCTAGAGTATAATATTTATTTATTCTTTAAGTGAAATTTTACAATAGTCGTTAAGCTATTTTACAGTGATATTTCGTGTATTTAAAATGCTACCCTCTTCATATTTTTAATGATAATTTTGATCGGCAAGAATGTTCTTTATATATCAATGTTTCAATTCGTTTTTTGAAATTCGATGGATCATGCATAGCTATTTATAAAATACTTAAAAAACTGCCAATGTATTCTATAGTTGCAAATTTAAACGGCATTTTTGTAACACGACTATTTGCATGCTTGCGTTAGCGCTTTATGGTATCTCTTTTCAGTTATTTATTTATTTATTTATTACGCTGACTCTCGAAAATGCCGTCAGGCAGTTGGTTTCTATCCCCATATATAATAAGTCCCCCCAAAAAACTAGTCAAATTACAATAAAGTAAAGAAAAAAACAGAAAGAGTTATAACATAAAATATGAAAAATAATCCTAAGATCGTTGTCTGCGTTGTATTTGTGCAATACGTGAGTATTTAAGAAAAGGGGTGATAGAGGCGGATTACCGAGTAAAGAAAATTTGAAGTAAATATTGTAAAATTTATTCTTATACTACATAATTTTTTAATTAAAAGTTTGAAAAAACTTGCTTCGTGTGTTTTCCCTAATTATAATTAACTTCTGAATGCATAAAAATCGAAAGAGATATCAGTTCATGGACAATTCACGAAAGTAGAGATTGGATCGATGAAATAAGACAAGTAACACTTGGGGATCTGTCTGGAGGACTTTCTTTGAGAAAGTGGTTCCCATTTAGGTGTTAGACAAATAAAATAAACCCGAAAACTTCAGGTGACAAGTCAATTGATCAGGTGAAAACCAGTGTTTAAGCGTTGTTTCAATTCGGCACACAAATATGATTTCATTCCTCTCCGATAGATTTAAAAATAAACGAAGTAATTAAAAAAAACTCTTTAATTTATATCACTTTTGTATAATGTATTTTTATAAATATAAAATATTAAATTTTGAGGTCTCACAATGTTCGGGACACGATCAAAATGGCTCTGCGCCCAATATAAATTCTTTTACACTCTTCAAATTGAAATCTCTACGCTACGAAGGAATGTGCACAAACCACATGCAAATTTCAGGACTGTAGAGGTGACAGAGATATGCAAATGATTAAGTTGCCGTACGCATCCGGTCATGTGGTGCCCAGTTTCGGGCTAAAAAGATTAGCAACCGGTTCGAACCGCAAATGTTATCAGCGACGGTTCGTGGCAGCCAAACTATAGAAGAAGCGTAGAAAATGTCTCGGAGACAACAGCGAACCGAATACCATCAGTTAACGACTGGGGAACGAGACCGTATCCTGAAGTTGTGTAATCTCGGTTTGTCGATGCACGCAGTTGCCGTGCGTGTTGGGCAGGATGTGAGTACCATCCAGAGATGTGTGACATGATAGACTCAGGAACATCTGCGAACACGTCGAAGAGGAAGTGGATCGCACCAGCTACAACAGAATACACAGACTGGCAGATTCGCCAACGGCCCGTCGGGACCATTTCGCTACGGACGTGACGTCCGAAACCTGTCACCGTCAACGGGTGTATCTGTGTCCACCCAAACCATTCGCAACTGGTTACATGAACTCGGGCTGCACACAAGGCAACCAGCAACGAGGCTGCCAAACCGCTCTACACAGGGCTACACAGTGTTGTCGTCATCGCAACAGGACCACTAAATATTGTTTACAGATGAATCCCACCTCTGTCTGTGAAGCAATGATGGCCGCGGAAGAGTGTAGTGGTATCCCCGAAAACGCTATGTGCCAGCCCTTTTCACCGAGCGTCACGACGGTTTCACACTGGGCATTATGGTTTGAGATGGCATCATATTCGATCAGTGCACAATCCCGGTGCACATTTTCGGTGCTCTGACAGCGGACCAGTACGTCACATGAATTGGGAGCCTGTGGTTCGGCCTCTGGTGCAGGCTGCACCCGATACAGTGTTCTAGCAAGATAATGTCCGATTGCACGTCGCATGCTGAATTCTCACCAGCCTGAACAGAATTCACATCCTTCTCTGGTCGGCAGCCTCGCCGTATCTATTTCTCATCGAACACCTTTGGGACCTCGTTGGTGCACCGAGAACCACTGCTACATACCGTAGGCGACATGAGCATTGCATTATACACAGTTTGGCAAGGGATACCTCAGGCAGCAATTAATCGCCTCATTGATAGCATGCCTCGCCGTATAGCGACCTGTACAGCTGCCAGTGGGGTTCATATTAGTTACTGAATAAACAAGTGTCTGTGCGTCTTTGTTCTTTTAATCATTTTCATATATGCCACCTCTACCGATCCTGCAATGTGCATGTGGCTACACGCATTCCTTCATGGTGCTGCGATTTCACTTTTGAGGAATGTACTTGATGAATATATTAGATAAAATTACATTAATTTAAATATAGTATAATTCCCGAATTTGATCTTTTAGACAACAGCGCCAAAACATCGACTATAGTCTCTTAATGAAATTAACCTTAACGATTCGATGAAAGTTTATGAAACGTTCCATTTAAAATTGTTAAAACATTTCATGAATATTTGAAAGAAAAGTATCATTGATATACCTTAATTAATTTTGGTATGAAATTATTTAGAATTATTGCTTTTGTAAATTAAAAATGAAAAATGTTTAAAACAGAACATGTGAAATGTAATGAAAATTACAGAATAATTCGAAAATTTTCAAGATTTTTATTTGCTTAATTAAGAATGATTTAAAATCATTCTTAAATTAATCAGATTCGCATTCTTCTGGAAGTATGCACAAGCCGCTTGGAGCTCTTACATATCCCTTTTTGCAAAAACAGCCTGAAACACACATTTTGTTACAGATCCTTACTGGATTTTGATAATTATCGCAGGTATCTGGACACGCAGTTCCGCATTTTCGAAATTCTTCTAAATCCCCACAATCATCACCTGAAAACAACGATGAAATATTGAAATTATGATTTATTACTGAATATTCAAGTGGTATTTTGCTATAGTTCGAAACAGATCTGCGAAGATTTTTCCATTTATTGCAATGAATTGAAAACCTCGAATTTGTATTTGCTAATGCATGACACGACACCACGATATGGACTATTCGACATGAATTATCATGAATGAAGAATCTCAAGTTCTTATTCATGATGATTTATTAGGAGAGATGAAACTCACAATAGGGTGACTTCATTATAGAACTACAGTAGAGCGTCGTTTATCCGAATCAATTGGGAACTGGGGTTGTTCGGATAACTTATTTTTCGGATAACCGATTATATACGAAAAATACATTAACCTATCCCGTTGAAATTTTTCTCCGTTGCGTTTCGCTTTGCGTTGATTTTTCGTCGATGTTAAGCATAACGTAAACTTTTTAAAATAATAATCGTGGCTATTGTATCGTTAAAAATTATTTCTTTATTTTTTACAAACAAAATAAATATAATGAAAAGTATAAAAACAAAAAAATTATACTTTAGAAGCTAATCTAGTATCAAAAACGTTCTATTCAGCATGACACACAGTCCTCAGAAAAACACCACACAAAAGAGCCACTGCTGCATACTAAAGAAAACACAACAACAAAAAAAATATTGGAGTAGCCCAAGATGTAGCCAAAGATTGCAGCGCCACAGCACTAGCGAAAATTTAAATTTTTCGACTGGAATTCTTTCGGATAACCGACGCTATACTGTATATCTATAATCTCATCGTCTTATCGGTCAGATGACCGAGCGATTAAGGTGTCATTCTACTATCCTGGGTGACCCGGGATCGAATCCTGATGAATAAAATTCTTTTTATTCATCAGGATTCGATTTCTGGTTTCATCCCCAAAAAATCCTAGGAATTTTTTGGGAATGAACCGTCCTGATACCGTCCGACCAATCGAACGACCCATTATGGACCTGATGAAACTCACCTCTCTATGCCCATAGGGAGGAAAGTTTAAAAAAAAATCTCGTTTTCTTAACAGGCCGACTAATTTCAATGGATTAAAATGGATAAAGAGCGGGAAATATCAACTTAACTTGAGCTATTCGCGAATTTCAGAATGAATCCAACACAAATCCATTTTGTAAACTGAGAACTTTTCATTGCAAGAAATACGCAAAATTAGTGTTCAATTTTCTTTTAATTACAAGGGAAATTCTTGTACGTATTCTCATGCAATGAAAGAATATCAGCTAATTTGAACACTTTTGTGTAAACTGTGCAAACAAAAATAATATTAAATTATATCTTACCTCTTGCGAGGACAATAGCAACAGCAAAGACAGTAGCGAATAAGAGAATGGTTTTCATCTTGAAAATTTGATTCTGAATCGAAACAGAGGGTTTATATATATACAAATTTTCGGACTGAGAAAGGGACATCTGGTTTACAATGTTACTGATATTTTTGATAATTAACGATAAGATTAAGAAACAAGGATTTTCAAAAAACTTATACAAGGTTAATCGGTAAAAGCGTTAAAACTTCATAAACTTAGATTTTATATATTAAAAAAGAACAACCCGAAAAATCCATTGAAAAATTTATAAAAAAAGAAACGAAATTTATTCTGTTTTCACAGTATATAGTCATAAGATTGTTAATATTTAGCATAGGCTTAATCTCCAATTTGTTTTGTATATTTGACTCTTTCCACCCTTTGGATATTAAGCAGGCCGTTTTATCCATACCTATTGTAAAGTTTATTCTTAGAAAATACAGTGGGTGATCGGTTAACGAACACTTTCGCGAAAGATTTTTATGATCGGACAACGAACACTTCACTGAACAAACACAAGAAGAAGCGACGTAAAATAACGAATACCGATTGTCTTCCCTTGTCTTCACGCAACAATTCAAAACTTTTCGGAGCGCGGGAGACGTCGACATCGACGTTCAACCCGGTATATAGCGATCGAATAGTATTCCCCCGAACTTTGAAACTCTTCCTTGTAATTCCAGCCTTTTATATTTCTGACAGAAAAATTCTTTTACGTTTTCTTCTGAAAAAGCGGATTTATTCCGATATCTGCTATATCGGCATATATCCGCTTTTAACTCCCACTTTTTCAAGAGATCTTGAAAAAGTGGGAGGATGCCAGAACAACAATCTTAAAATGGCATCCAAACCAGATTGAGGTTAATAGGCTTAGGGATCTCTACAATTACAATGCTATAAATTACTTCTGAAAAATCATGAGGAAGAGAAAAAAGCAAGAGACATTGGACAGATTCTTTAACTCTCACAAATGGGAAAAACATGACTAATAAAAATGCAAGAATTCCAGAACGAATTAATCAAATTTTCATAGAAACCTATGGTAAATCGATAATCGGTTAACGAACAATTCGGATTGCGAACAAAGTCTTGGAACGGATTATGTTCGTTAACTGATCACCCACTGTACAATTTCCTAATTAAACATTAGAAAGAAATTCGTGCGTTTTTCCTAATTATGATTAATTTCTGAATGTATAAATTAAGGCCCTTAGAGATGAGATGAGGTTTGGACGATTTACAAAAGTGAGAATTGAATCATAAGACTCGGTAGAGGCAAGCCGTCAAGTAAGCGAGCAAACGAGCTGGAATTAGAACGCTTCTCAATTTGTTTGTTTGGTTAAGTTATGGCAAATCAACACTTAAGCGATCTGCCTAGGGTAGGGGTCGGCAACCTGCGGCTCGCGAGCCACATGCGGCTCTTTGGATGTGAAGCTGCTCTTTAGTTCCATACGCAAATATTATTTATCTTATCAAAAAAAACATTTAAAAATCGTTCTGAATCGATTAACGAGGATTAGGCACTGTTTCTATCTCTCAGCAAACTTTTACTCGCTTTTCACCGCACCCCTCCCCCGTGACACGCATCGTCACTGTCGACAGTCCGTCGGAAGCTCTCGAATGACGCCGTCACCGGATGTTTCTATTATCTAATGTTGTGAAAAACACTACTTATATATGAATAAATAGATTAGTTTTTTTATCAAANAATCATCACCTGAAAACAACGATGAAATATTGAAATTATGATTTATTACTGAATATTCAAGTGGTATTTTGCTATAGTTCGAAACAGATCTGCGAAGATTTTTCCTTTTATTGCAATGAATTGAAAACTTCGAATTTGTATTTGCTAATACCTGACACGACACCACGATATAAACTATTCAACATCAACCACCATGAATGAAGTTCATCTTCATGATGATTTATTAGGAGGAATTAAACTCACAATATGGTGACTTCATTATAGAAATATATATATAATCTCATCGTCTTTTCGGTCAGATGACCGAGTGATTAAGGTGTCATTCTGCTATCCTGGTTGACTCGGGATCGAATCCTGATGGATAAAAAAAAATCCCAGGAATTTTTTGGGGATGAACCGTCCTGACTAAATATTGACTAATCGACCGACTGATATATTGACTAATCGACCGACTGATGAAACTCACCTCTCTATGCTCACAGGGAGGAAAGTTTAAAAAAAAATCTCGTTCTCTTAACAGGCCGACTAATTTCAATGGATTAACATGGATAAGGAACGGGAAATATCATCTTAACTCTAGCTATCCGTGAATTTCAGAATGAATCCAACACAAATCCATCTTGTAAACAGAACTTTCATTGCAAGAGATACGCAAAATTAGTGTTCAATTTTTTTTAATTACAAGGGAAATTCTTGTACGTATTTTCATGCAATGAAAGAATATCAGCTAATTTGAACACTTTTGTGCAAACTGTGCAAACAAAAATAATATTACATTATATCTTACCTCTTGCGAGGACAATAGCAACAGCAAAGACAGTAGCGAATAAGAGAATGGTTTTCATCTTGAAAATTTGATTCTGAATAGAAGGAAGTGGCTTATATATACATACAAATTTTCGGACTGAGAAAGGGGCATCTGGTTTACAATGTTACTGATATTTTAGATAATTAATGATAAGATTAAGAAACAAGGATTTTCAAAAACTTATACAAGGTTAATCGGTAAAAGCGTTAAAACTTCATAAACTTAGATTTTATATATTAAAAAAGAACAACCCGAAAAATCCATTGAAAACGAAATTTATTCTGTTTTCACAGTATATAGTCATAAGATTGTTAATATTTAGCATAGGCTTAATCTCCAATTTGTTTTGTATATTTGACTCTTTCCACCCTTTGGATATTAAGCTGGCCGTTTTATCCATACCTAATGTAATACCCTGTTCGCACCGAGCATTTCGATCTACATTGTGACCAAGGTCGGAGACTGTTCCGTGGTGTGACCTCTCTCGACCGTTTCAATCTCGACTCAAACGAGGTTAAATCGCGATCGACTCGAGAGAGTTCTTGAAACTAGATCCAGTCATAAGAGAGATTCCACAATCCCACGCGCGCGAGAAAATACAAGATGGCTGCTGAACACGTGTCCGGCTATCGACAGAAAAATAAAAAAAGATATCTGGAGAGACGATGACATCTGTCTATTATTAGATATACGGCAAAAAAAAGTATTTATTTCTAACCAAAACTTCCATTTTGTTTGTTGGTGTTCGTGACTTACCTCGTAGTTATGTCAGTCTTATTATCGCGTGTAACAGCCGGGTTCTTCTTGAGCGGATTGCCTGTGCGAACAGCATGACGACTGACGACTGGCGACAGTCACAATTCAGATTGTAGGTAAATCGAGATCGAAGTGAGTCGTGGATTGTGTGCGAACGTAGTATAAAGTTTATTCTTAGAATATACAATTTCATAATTAAAAATTAGAAAGAAATTCGTGCGTTTTTCCTAATTATGGTTAATTTCTGAATGTATAAATTAAGGCCTTTAGAGATTAGACGAGGCATGGACGATTCACATTTCATAAGACTCGGTAGAGGCTAACCGTCAAGTAAGCGAGCGAACGAGCTGGAATTAGAACGCTTCTCGGTTTGTTTGGTTAAGTTACGGCAACGCAACACTTGGGTGATCTGCCTAGGGGTTGCCTTCCGGGATATCTTTTTAAGGGTTACTGGCACAATCCCACAATTTCATGCGTTACAGACGCGGAGAAAACCCGGAATACTTCACGTAGCCAGCCCGTCCTGGCCAGGCGCGAACTCACGACCGAACTCCCAGTGTTCAGGGAACGGAACCGCTTGGCCACTGGTGGGCCAGAACGTTTCTCGGACTGGAACTGTTGGAACTGATTTGAGTCCAAACTCTTCCGACGGAACGGTTTCTCGGAACTGCTTAGTCTGATGGATTACACGTTTTTACAGAATCATTATATTTTGTCGGAATTGCTGTTGGACTCGGCGGTTTCNTTCCTAATTATGATTAATTTCTAAATGTATAAATTAAGGCCCGTAGAGATGAGACGAGGCGTGAACGATTTACAAAAGTGAGAATTGAATCATAAGACTCGGTAGAAGAAAGCCGTCAAGTAATAGAGCGAACGAGCTGGAATTAGAACGCTTTTCGGTTTGTTTGTTTGGTTAAGTTATGGCAACGCAACACTTAAGCGATCTGCCTAGGGTATGGTTTCCGAGATGTCTTTTTAAGGGTTACTGGCCCCTATTCATGCGTTACAGACGCGAAGAGAACCCGGAATACTTCACGTGGCCAACCCGTCCTGGCTAGGCGCGAACCCACGACTGAACTCCCAGTGTTCAGGGAACGGAACCGCTTGGCCACTGGTGGGCCAGAACATTTCCCGGACTGGAACTGTTGGAACTGATTCGAGTCCAAACTCTTTCGACAGAACAGTTTCTCGGAACTGCTTAGTCTGATGGATTACACGTTTCCACAGTATCATTATATTTTGTCGGAATTGCTGTTGGACTCGGCGGTTTCGTATGTGTTTTTATATACGGTATATACAGTGCCGGCCAGAGGCAAGTTTTAGGGTGGAGCTAGATCCTATTATGGCGCCCCCTTGGTTGCCGCTAATTTATATCCTTTAATTTTCTTTACCACTGAGACGCCCACTAGGACTTAGCGCCTGGAGCGGCTGCTCCATTATAATATTGTTTTATTACAGTTTGGTACAGATCGGGCAGAAGGTTTAGGAGTTAATAAAAGGAATGAAATCAGGAGAGCACCTATTCTGTTATCTATATACCGTATATAGATACATATACGGTATATAGATAATAGAATATGTGCTCCTCCTGATTTCATTCCTATTATTAATTCCTGAACCTTCTGCCCGATCTGTACCAAACTGTAATAAAAGAATATTTCGGTTTTCAAACGCACACTTGACGATGCATTACAGATTTATTTCATTACTAATTATTCCAAAGTTCATTTCATTATAAACAGTTTGAAGGAATTATTATCGCATTATATACATTTTAAAACAACAATGAAAGAAATTGTGATCTGTAACGAACGCACCGCCAAGTGTGCGTTTAGATGTTAGATACGTAAAGAAAATCAGTAATCTCCACGTGATGAGGATATTGATCGGGTGAGAACCAGTGTTTGGGTGTTTTATCCATTAGGTCATTGGTGGGCCAAAAATAAAAACTTATCAATGTCCGATAGCCTTAAAAATAAACGAATTAAATAGAAAAAGTTTTAATCACTTTTGTATAATGTTTTTTTATAATTATAAAATATAAAGTTTCGAGGTATCACGATGTTCTAGGTACCATCCAAATTGCTTTGCTGGCCCTTTATTTGTACCGAATATAAGTACTTTTACTTTATAAAAATATTACATAAAATTATATTAATTTAAAAATAGAATAATTCACGAATTATACCTTTTATACAACAACGCCAGAGTGTCGACTATAGTATCTTCATGGAATTAACCTTAACGATTCAATGAAAGTTTCTGAAACGTTCCATTTAAAATTATGAAAACTTTTTAATGAAAATTTGAGATAAAAATATCATCGATATTAATTTGATATGATATTACGATATTTAAAAGTTTTGCTTTGCTAATTTTAAATGAAAAATCTTTAAAACAGAACATGTGAAATGTAATAAAAATTACAAAATATTTCGAAAATTTTCGTTTTTATTTGTTTAAGAATGATTTAAAATCACTCTTAAATTAATCAGAATCGCATTCTTCTGGAAGTATGCACAAGCCGCTTGGAGCTCTTACATATCCGTATTTGCAAAAACAACCTGGAACACACATTTTTTTACAGATCCTTACTGGATTTCGGTAACTTTCGCATGTGACTGGACACGCAATTCCACATTCGTTATATTCTTCTAAAGCTCCACAGTCATCATCACCTGAAAACAATGAAATATTAAAATTATGATTTATTGCTGAATATTCAAGTGGTATTTTGCGATAATTCGAAACAGATCTGCGAAGATTTTTCCATTTATCTCCATTGTAATGCAATGAATTGAAAACCTCAGATTTGTATTTGTTAACGCATGATATAACACTACGATATGAATTCGTGTTTGGATTCGTTTAGGACAGGCGTGGCGAACCTATTGCATGCGTGCCCAAAGTGGAACAAAGGATAAATCATCTGGCACGTAACGTATCACGATTTCGATTTATCATCTGTCTTTTTCAATCGTCCTTTCGGTTTATCACCTGATCATCCTTTTGAAATCACTTTTTTTACATTTATTGTAGTTAAAGCATATTCGTTTAATTTATTTAAAA